GAAGTACTAAAATATATACAGTAGAGTAAAATGCAGATCTTCCATGCACTCAAAAGATAAAAGATGAGATTTCAAAGACATTCAGATACTGTGGTTAGGCGAACAGAAACTTCATTCTCCTCAGTGTGGGGTCTCAAGCATGGGCCTCATTGAGAACTCTAACACTTTGCATTGTGTGTTTCTGACTGGCTGGTCTTTGGGTTTGTACTTGAGAAGTTGTCAAGGATCACACAGAATGGAAGAAACTTCTGACACTGTTGAAGAAGGACCAGCCAGTAGCTCATCAGTCAGACCAACTTTAACAAGAAAAGAAGATGCATGAAAGTGAAGGCCAGAAAGACCTCAGAAGAAGGCTCTTACTTAGCAAAATCAATTGTGCTGTCAGGAGGCTAAACTTGGCAACATAGACAAATGACTCGGGGTGATTTTCAATGTCGTGTCTTTAGGGAGCCTGTATGTCCTTCATTACTTTTTGTTTGTCATTTGTCTTGAGTAAGCATCACTACAAATGTTCTTTCTTACCATGTTTTGTGCTGTTTTGCTTTTTAAGTAGCAACAAGTAATGGCAGCAGCCACGGGGGATCCTGGACTGTCCAAATTACAGTTTGCCCCCTTTATCAGTGCCCTGGATGTTGGATTCTGGCATGAGCTGACTCAGAAGAAGCTGAATGAGTATCGGCTGGATGAAGCTTCTAAGGACATTAAGGGTTATTACTACAATGGTAGGTGACTGTAAATTCTGTCTTCCTTCATCTTCTCTCCTCTTCTCTGCCCTTGACTATAGGGTCAGCTTGGCTTTAGAAAGGGATGCCCTGGGCTTTTCTAATTAATGATCTGCATTGGTTTCTTTTTTGCTTCCTGACTTTTGACCCACATTCATTTTTACTTCTTTCCTCTGTTGTGGGGAAAAGAAAGAGTGTAGTGAAACCCAAGTTATTAATGCAAAGAATTAATAGTGATTATTTAATATTGCTGGGGGGAGGAGATTGGAAATAATATTTTCCTTGAACCTTTTTAAAAAATATTCTTGACACAGCCTCACATTTGCAAGACCTCTGTCATCTTCTGCTAAGTCCCTGTTGGGTATGGATAACCAGGAATTGGATGGGATGCTTTGGGCTCACCAAAGAGAACAAAATCATTTGCAAATGTTTTTGTTAAGAATACAGCTATTACCAACTTATAATCGAAAATGTGATAATGCTTCTGTCCAGGTGATTCTGCTGGGCTGCCAGCTCGTTTAACATTGGAGTACAGTGCTTTTGACATGTGAGTATTTTTTGCTCAAAATCTAAAGTAAAGAACGCTCTTCGTTTTTGTCAGGATTGAGCAGTTTAAACCTCCCACGTAGGTGGACTGTACACGGACCTAGGAGAGCTCCCCGTGAGCAGGGCCTGCTCCTCATGACTCTCTTGTATCCCCTGTAGCAGAGACAAATGCTAGATGCTTAGGACTGTCCAAGCGGATGTTTGTCTGAGCCTCTTAGGTGCCAAGTACCATCCAGATTGATTGACACTTGGATAACATCCCGCCTTCTTTTGATTGTAGTGAATATTTTGTGATCCTTTATTGGCATCTCTTGACTTACTCCTATAGTTCCTTAACCGTGGACATCTGTAAATGTTTATTAAGCCACTTCTGTATACAATCCACTGTGCAAAGCGTTATGGGGATATTCAAAGAAATATGACAAACATCTTCAAAAAGGTTTTTTTTCCCTTGTTGGGGGCCATAGGGAGTTGCTGGAGGGAAAACAGACATATATTGACTTAATTAGGGGCATTTTCACATACAGAAGCCTTTCTGACTTTCCAGGTGTGATTTTTCTCTTTTCAAAATGAGGAAACCATGGGTCAGAAGGTCAGATGGCTTGTCCAAGGTCACATGTGACTAAATTTAGGAAGCAAGGGTGAGAGAAAAGTAAAATGTGTTTCTGAGGTTGCAGTCTGAATAGCTGGGAATATTTTGTTACCTTCTACAGAAACAGAGAAACCAGGAGGGGGATACAGTTGTAGGAGGACCCAAGTGTGGTTTAGAACATGCTGAGTTTGAGATGACAGTATCCAGTAGAAATGTTTAAGAGGCACTGGAGTTTAGGAGGAAGGGTCATCCGTGGAGAGGAGGAGGTCATGAAGCCAGAAGAGAGGAAAAAACTAGTGTGTAAGAAGAACAAAGGGCCAAAACAGTGAATGGGCCTGGTGAGCAATCACTCTTTATTCCTCTGCATTCTTCCCTTCTCTGTCCTTCCAGCCCCAGGCAACAGTGAATCTACTTGCTGCTTTTGGATTTGTCAATTCTGGACATTTCATGTAAGTGGAATTGTAGGAAATTAAACTAGTACATGTCCAGGATCAGAATTTGTATTAAATCTGTTTCTGAGTCTAATGCTCTTCCCACTCCTCATCTGAGCCACCTCCTTGTGGAACAAGTGTAACTTGAGTCTGCAGAAACTGTAGAATGACTTAATCTCCGTGATCACTTTAACTTGTTAATTAAATTAAATTAATTAACTCCCTGGCCACCTCCCCTGGTGGAACTTAAGGCATGAAAAATGCTTCTCCTTTGAAACTTCAGCTTGTCCTCGTGAGTTAACCCGTGTGAGTGCTGATGTTCTGGGAGCCTAGCCGTCCTGGCAGTCGCTTGAATTCTTGTGATGTAGTTTCTTCCGCTCGTAGAACAAGGCTTTGGCATGGCATTCACACATCTGGGACATCTGGGCACTTAGGAAGAAAGGTCCCTTCCTCCTCTTGCACTTGTATCCAGATTAGATCAGAGCATCCTTCCATTTCAGCAGGAATTTCATACAGCCAGTCTGAATGGAGGAGACCTAGTTTACCAACTGCTCTGCTTCCTTCTTCCCGCTGGGCTGAGCCTTGCCCCTTTGTCATTTCTCCTGCTCCTCAGGGCTCGCTCTGATGTCCTCATCTCACCTGGATGGAAAGCTCTTGACGAGAGTAGCAGAGCGACAGCCTATAGTTTGCTGAGTCAGCAGCTGCCAAGGGAAGGCTCTGGCAGCTGAAGGCTGCTGCTTCCCCAGGACTTGGCATTCGAGCCTTACAGACAGCATATGACAGAGTCCTTGTCACCCATTGCACCCCTCCACACCTCTTCTAGGGTTAGATTTCTTCTGGTGGCTCCTCTGAACCCAGTTTTATGCATATTCTGAATGAAGAGCCACAGGCTTTTAAGCCATCCAGCCACCATCAGTGTAGTCAGTAAAAATGCATTCCCTCCTCAGTAGTTGTAACAACAGTAGGCTACTAATGAAATATTTCCTTTTAGCATCTGTAACCTCCAAACCACAAGTTCATCATTTCAGATAGGAGACCAGATTTTTCCACATCAGAGCTTATATTCAGAATCAGCTCCTCTCCTCTCCTACTTTGGTTTCTCTGAAGACCATGAGGCTGTACAGGCTGTGTGGAGTGTGGTCCGTGGGGCGTGGCAGATTGGCAGGGAGCTCAGGGGAAGCACATTTGTCTGTGCAACTCAGACACCCCCAAGGCTTTGCTCCGCAGTGGCTCTGTGCAGAGCCTGTGTGGGCTGGGCTAGGTCTGGGGAGCCTAGGAGAGGGAGACACATTCCCTGCCCTCAGGGAGCTTACTGTCCTCCAGTTGGGTGTATTTGACCATCAGTCTTGAAAACACTCTAAAATACTTCATGTACCAGTATTTCTGTTTCATGTGCCAACCCTTCCCAGAGAAGTGGGGAGATGGTTTCCTGGAAGAGGAAGATTGGAGCAGGGCCTTGGAGCACAGGAGGGTGTAAGAAGATTGTGGACAGTACAGTACCTTGGGAGTCAACTAGTTCTGCCTTCAGATTCCAGCTCTGCCTATTTTTATGTGACCCTGGACAAGTCACTTAAATCTTTAACTGGGAGACAGAATTGTTGTACAGTTCTTGGCATACTGGGAGCTCCATTGATGTTTTCCTTTCAGATTAAAGATGGGAAAGAATGAAAAATAGGAAATGAACTTCTGTTTGGGGGCAGTGGGAGAAAGCATGCACCTGCTTTTAGCTACTCAGCGATGATACTCATCTTTTTCAAACCATCAGTCTTCTCTTTGCCCTCCGAGCACGGTCCTCTGTCTCCCAGGGTTGTGCAGCTTTCTCTGTCCCCGCTGGCTCTCAGTCAGGGCTGTGTCTGCTTAACCTTGTTTGTCTTGTGCCCAGGTGTGCTCCCACTCCCGCCCACTGCTGCCGGGCTGTCGGGACACTATATAACACCAACACACTTGAGGCTTTCAAGGCTGCAGATAAGAAGCTACTTTTGGAAGAAGCCGCAAACGAGGTTAGCTGGGAAAAGATGATGTATCTGTCACATTTTCTGTGGTTGTGGCAGGCTCAGTGTTTCTGATTGGGTGTATGGCTCTGTCACAGAAACTAGCATATAGTCGGTACCTGGGGATAGCTGCAGGCTTTGGCTCATTTCCCCAGAGAGAACACTTCCCACTCTCCTCCTTGTTAGTGGGAAGGTCAGGAGAAGACACCTGGGCTCTTGCCTGGGGACACGCAGGAAGTGGCAGGGCAGTGGGTGTCAAGCTCTGCAGCTGCTCTCCAATAGCATTTTGAAAGCAGCTTGACCTCCCTCAGTGTCTGAATGCATTTGGGTTCTCTGTTCTTTGTGACCCTCGGAGAGGCTTTCCAGTCCTAAGCACTGCTGTCAGAGATGGTCGTCTAGCCTCTCCCTTACCCTCAGGGCTAATTAACTCTGTACCCGCTGTACAGGGCCCCTTGTGGCTTGGCCTCTGTGGCCTTCCTGTCCTTCCACTCGTGCCCTCACCTTCTCTGCCCCATCACAGCACAGCAGTTCAGATTCCTTCACCTGCTTTTGTTCCCTCCTCTGTCCTTGGGACATTATGTTCTCTCTGCCTGGAACCTCTTTCCTTTCCTTTTTTGTATCTGATGAGTGTGAGGAATTAAAGTGGGGGACAGTTTATCCCATCCCCTCTAACCCACTGAATCAAGGAGTCTTCACACTACTCTGAAAAAACAAGAGTGTCTTTTTTTATGTGGGTGCCATGGTCGGAGGAGGAAGTCACCACCTGTGATCCTGAGGAAGGTGGTCCCGTATGTCGCCTCCAGATGGATGCAGCCTGTGACTCAGGAGATGATGGTTTTCCTTGGCCTGAGGCTTGACTGCTCCCGAGCCCCTACTTTGGCTGCACACTTCAAAGGGCCTCCAAAGAGTTGGATCAGGGCTTAATCCATTATCAAAAACATCAGGTTGCTCCCCACAGGAATTCCCCGGGCTCAGCCCTTACCTCCCCTCTCAGTTTATCAGAAGCAGGGACCTGCTCTTCTGTGGTCCTGCTTCTCTAAGGCTCTTATTTCAATGACAGGACTTCTCTTTAGTGGCTCTTATTGGTGCAACCACTTGTCTTGCCTAGTGACACAAAATTTTGTAACTAATCTTAGCTACTGTAACATCTGTGATCCGCAGCTGTGACCAGTACCAGCTTCTGCTTCCCATCACAGAACTTTCTGAGTGTTTGTAAACTTGAAATTCATTCTCTGTCCTTCATATCTCATAGAAAGATAATCCCAAATAAGACTTCAAGAAATCTTGGCATAATTCAAACCACTGCCTCCCAGGACCTCTCCCTGATTCCTTTTCCCTCCTGCCTCCCCAACCAAGTTTGGTGCTCCTCCCGGGAAGGCCGTGTTCTCCTGTGGTGGCACGTTCTACCTAGCAGTGTCCACAGAGGTTAATGCCCATCTTGCTCACTAGATTATACACTTTCTGAGGGATGGGACTGTGTCTTTTATTTCTGTAACCCTGATATGCCTAGTATGTAGGAGGCAATCAGTTAAATAGTTGTTGAAGGAAATAATGAAGGCATGAAAATGGCCTGATGCTGAGACCCTCTGAGAGGAGGTGTCTGGGTTTTGCCTCTTTGCTCAGCCTCTGCGGGGAGTGTGGCTGGTGGAGAGGCCATGTGAGCAGGTGGAAAGAAGTAACCACCTGCGTGGTGCCTGGGGTCAGTGGTGCCGGGCTCTAGAGAAGAAGAGCTTGGCGCTTCTCAGCTCCGTGCTTCACTTGAGAGTGAGAAGCTTAGAGATGCCTGATAACCTGTCTTGATACTCTTCTTTCTTCTGGCAGATATGGGAATCCATCAAATCAGGTGCCGCTCTTGAAAACCCTGTCCTCCTCAATAAATTCCTCCTCTTGACATTTGCAGTAAGTAAATGGACTTGGTTGCTGTTACACAGCTGAATGCCCTGAGCACGGCCCAGTGTGCCCCTAGGCCAGTCTGTGCTCCTCTCTCCGAAGATGCTGTGTTATTCCAGTCAGAGCTGTTAAAGAAACACTCATTTGATTAGTGGCCCCATAGTGCTGCCACTTACTACCAATGCAGAATTAATTCACTCTCGCTGGTCATGCTGGTAGCAGTTACATGATTTATATAACACAGGGGCCCAACTCTTGTCATTCAGGACAGGATAAAGGCAGGTTCAGGAAGTAGTGTTCCTTGTTGCTAATGTCTTTGTTAAATACTGTCCTGTGGAGCTCAGTTGCTGGGTGCACTGGCATAGGGAAAAGGGGATGTCTTGGGGTCCTGCCTTCCTCCAAGCAGCTGTGGGACTAGATATCACACTACATAGCTCGTCCACACAGTTGTAGTTTTCTAAGAAAGGCTTTGTGTAAGTGATATCTAATTAAAATGAAAATTCTAGCAGCTTTGAAGAGGAAAAGAAGTCACATTAGGGTAATATCTGCTGTCTAGGGAAGTAGGGGGAGGGACCTGGTTTCAGTGATAGGAAAAGGTAAGGATTGATTTTAGAGATGCCAGCTACATGCACACACACATTCATGTATATATGTGTGTGTACATCTCTGTATTTCCGCATATAAAATACATGTATATACCTACATATAAAACTAACTTACCCTTTATGATTATGTTGATTATAATATTCCATCAAGTGTATGCTTGAGAGACTCTTGTACATCTAGGTTGTTTCCAACATTCACTATTTTTAAAAAATGCTGCAGTGACCAATATTGGCCCTACTGATTTTATTTTATTTTATTTTTGCTGTTCTTTTTATTTGGTCAGAAAAAATTCTTTGGGCATATAAACATACTGATGCCAACTTTAGTAAGTGTGTTATTTCACCACAGCTTCATTGGCTGTGGATAGTGACCCTCTTCCCCACAATTTTTCCTTCTCTTTGCCAAGTTGCAAGTCTTGCCTCTCTTCCCTGACACCAGGTTCTAATCCTCCGTTTCTTCCGAATGCTGCCTCTGATTTGCTGCCCAAGGCAAAGGAGAGAATGATAGGAATCTAACTGGAGGCTGTACCAAAGGGCAGCTATCTATAAGGAACACATTTTCTAACAAGTTATAATGCTTTCTGTGTAGTAGTGGGAGAGATGGGAAAATGCTTAACTTCTTCATGGGCTTCCTGCGTGCAATTTGGCATTGGTAGTTTGTAAATTTGAGGAATTTTACAGGTTTGCAACTAGGATAGATATAGCTAATGACAGTTAAAGATTTCTGGTTTTGCTATTTAATATCAATACATTTGTGTACGGAGACTTCTGGTTAGTAGAATCTAATGACAGTTTGCATTTAAGAAGAAAACTAGCATTAGCTCTTAACATTTCAAGGCATTTCCTAGAGTTGGTTTGTGTTGGCTTTGATGCCCTTTATACTGAGCATTCTTAGCCTGCCTTTAAAAAAATTTAAAATCTCTTATCTTTTAAAATCTTCTAACCAAAGGGCTTTATGTTTAATTTAATCGAGATCCTTTGTATCCTGAAAAGAATTCTAAGAAATTCAAGCCTTTTGACTTTTGAAGGTGACCTGATAAAGCTTCTTAGAAGTTATGAAGTCCTTTGTCTTGAATTGTTTAACCTTTTACTAAAGATTTAAAGATCGCTTCTGACAAATCATTTAAGTACAAGGAAGAGAGAATAATCTCTGAAGGTGTTTCTGCTTTTCTTTCTGCTGTTTTTAGGACTTAAAGGACTAGATCCTTCACTAGCTTCAGTTCTGTAGTTTGTTTTGCTATTGTCGAAAGGAAATTTGTTCTTAGTTGATCAATTAGTGGCAGAATTAGCGACTGTGGAAAGTATAATTACTAGACTTTTCTGGACACATGTTTATATATGTTTAAATTTAAGAAGTCATCTAGTATGTCATTTGTATGAAAAGTTCAGAATCAGCAAGTCCAAAGAGACAGAAAATTGACTAGTGGTTCTTGGGGCTGTGGAGTGGTGGGAATGGGGAGTTTCTGTGAACAGCTTTCTAAGTATAAACTAATGGGGAGTTTCTGCTGTTGGGGTTTCTTTTTGACGTGATGGAAACTTTTTGGAATTGGTGGTAATGGTGGTATGACCTTGTCAGTTTACTAAAAAACCATTCAGCTGTACACTTTAGCATGGTGTATTGTACGGTATATGAATTATAGCTCAAGACAAAATTGCCAAACAACCATCCACTCTGTATTCTTGGCAAGATTAAAGAAGAAATATTAATTAGCCAAGTAAACTGCATAGTGGTCAGTATTAACAGACCAGTGGGGAAGCTGCCAAGTACCCACGTAACTGTGGGCTCCTACCACTGAGCGATTCTGGCTGTAAGTGATGTGGGAGTTTGAGGCAAAAGCATTCAGCCTGAGTGGGAATGGTGTCTAGGCCAGCTGCACGAGACACCACCCTGCATCACTTCCCCTGGGGGGAGCAGCGGATACACCCCTGAGGACGAACTCTCCCACATCGTGGATGCTCCTGAGTTCTCAGAGCCTCCTCTGTGCTGTACATGCAGTTAACCACGCACTCACTTTGTCTCTGCTCCACACCGTGAGCTGCCTGAGGACTTGGCTGGGTTTTATTCATCTTCTTACTGTCAGAGTGTCTCGTCTTGCCTTATGCATAGTAAGTGCTTGATGGTTGTTGACTTGAATTTCCTCAGTAAGGCATTTCTGAAAGCAGTGTTGTATTATCTCAAGCATATGTAGATTATGATTAGCACAGATCCTTTAATAACAGTCTTAATTTGTTGGATTGTGAAGAGGCGGATAAATGTTTTGGGAGGCCATGATCACCCCACCTCTGTTGGTGCATTGAATACTGTGGACAAAAGCTTGATGGAGTTTGGGAAGCAGAATTCTGCTCCTCTCTCGGCCTCTTCATGTCTTTGTTCTGTTCAAGTTCTTCACCCTTCTCTAAGCTTCAGTTTTCTGTCTGTAAAATGGGATGAATAAAGTTAGCTTCCAGGGTGGTTTTGAGTATTAAATACTGATGGTGATAATGTCAACTGCCTGATGAACACTTTCTGTTAGCAAGTGGCCAATAGAGAATATTGTTTATCAGGATATATTAGTGCATGGTGTAGGGGAGTATTTTGGGATAAAGACAGAAATTCTGTATTCTGTCCTCAGTTCTGTTGGAGATGAGAATTTCTGACAAGTGTGTTTCAGTTTTCCTGTCTTGCATGGCTCTGGGATGGTTATATTAATAGATGCACTTCAGCTTAATTATGGTGCTATACTGATACGATATCTTACATTCTTCCTTCTAGGATCTAAAGAAGTACCACTTCTACTATTGGTTTTGCTTCCCTGCTCTCTGCCTTCCAGAGAGTATACCCCTCATTCAGGGGCCAGTGGGCTTGGATCAAAGGTTTTCACCAAAACAGGTATCAGCAAATAAAACAAAATGCAAGTAAAATTGAGTTTAACATGCATGAGCAGTTTATTCTGTATCATCCTAAAGACAAATAGGCACTAGTCTGGATGAAGAGGTTGTCACTGTGGAATTCTCCAAAGATGGTTCTCGGAGCTGATTTATTTACCAAATATTTGTAAAATCATTTTGAAGAAGTAGTAAGCAATACTTTTCCATGTTTTCAGTGACATGTGGCAAAATGCTAAGCTAGTAGGGAGGACTTACAGGAACATTCTGAAAGACTGCAAGAATTTGCCAAGATGTGGTCTTCACTTTCAGTGTGGGGGTTATGAAGCAATATACTTTGGAAAGAGAGTCTTTGAAACCAAGTCATACCAAATCATGGAACTTGTACATCAGGAATGATACACACCCAGCTAGTCTGCAGTGTAAGGAAGGTTGTAGGTCATTAGAGATGGTCCTAAGAAGAGCTATGAAAATAATCCGGCCAGTAGAACACATACCCTAAGCGAAAGCATTCTGATCATTGCAGAGGCAAAGGTTGAATGGTGAGATGATTTGAATCCATGAAGTGTACCAGCCACTGAAATCCTGAATTCTAAAGCCAGGGAGAAACCCTTACTGACTGAAAAATAATAATAATCTCATTGAGGACAAATATCAGAGGTTGTGGTTTTGTGGGACTAATTTCCTAAGAAATATAAGTGAGGGAAAAGGACTATATATGGGGATTGACTCCTAGTGGGGATGGGGTTTCTTCTGGGGGGACAAAAAAAAGTGTTCTGAAATTACAGTGGTGAGGGTGGCATAGTTGTGCGGCCATGCTAAAACCAGCATTGAATTGGGCACTTTATGTGGGCGAATTGTATGGTAAGTGAAGTGTGTTTCAGAAAAGCTGCTAAGATTATGGAAAGGTTCAGGCAAAATTCATCAGTGGTAGATTCATGCTTGGTCCTGCCAGGACCGTGTTTGGGTACAACGCTGAACCTCTGTGGTTGGCATCTTAGGGAACCACCATGCTGTGACATGACATGTCCCTCTGAGCCTCTAAGACAGGTTACATACAAGTGTATTATTTGAGGCACTTTAATGTTCATTTGCTGTAAAAGAGTGACAGGGGTATGTTCAGTCATTTCCCGTCTTCTGGCTTGAAAGTACCTTGTATGTTAATTTTTAGCACAGAGCTAGATATATAATTGTCTGGAGCATAACTCAATGTATTCTGTTTTCAGATCCAAGCCCTCAAGCGTGCTTATGATGATCTTTGTCAAACAGAAGGAGTCCCAGCGCTCCCTTACTTCCTAATCAAATATGATGAGAACACAGTGTTGGTTGCCTTGCTGAAAAACTACAGTGATTTCTTCCAAGGTCGAAGGACAAAGGTCAGAGAAACTTTGAGTATCATTTTATTGTCCAGTAAAAACCCATAAAAAAATCTGATGTTCATGCTGTGATAGACCACTGCAAAACTCAAACTCATTTAGATTTCTTTAGCCCTGTAAAGCATGTTTCAGAACATTCTTTATCTTCACCCTCTCCCACCCCTGCAGTTCCTCTGGGCTCTTTCCTCCAGATTTTCCTATCTCTGTTATGCCTCTGAGTAGTTCTGGGGTCCTTTCTTCCTGTTAGGGATAAAGTTATTTCAGTTTTCCTTCCTGATACATTTTGTATCTCTTACTCTGTTTTAGCTTATTCCCAGAGTCGTATTCCCAATTGTAGTTCAGGCCCTGTTTATCTCACTCTTGGACCCTGAGAGTCCTGTTCCTTCCACCTTGCACAGCACTGCAGTAGAAGGACCTTCCTCAGACTGTTCACCTTCACTGTATCATTCACCAATCAAGAGTTAATGGTGTCTTCCTTCTAGCCCCACCCTACCTTTCCTGCCTCATTTTCCACGAATTTCCTCAAAAACCATTGGCTCCAGCTAAGATTGTCTGTTTCGCCAGACCACCTCCCTAATCAAATATGTCTATAGATTTTTCTATGTCTCTCTCAGTCCTTGTGTTATGTCATCTTCCTGAAACATATTCCACCTGTGAAAATCCTAAGACACTGTCTCTCCTTTTTGAAATCCTGCCTCCATGGTGAGGCTTTTCATGGTGTGGCCGTTTGTGGTCTGTCCCTTTCTGATCTCAATGCCCTTATTTCCTGATCCTCATTTACTGTTCTCCACTCCTTCATACAAATTACTTTTTGTGCTATATTAGACTGTGAGCTCCTAGAGGACAGGGACCATATCTTCTGTCTATGTGTCTGCATAGTGTCTAGCACATGACTCAGACCCTCAATACAATTATGAATGAATGGAGTACTCTGTCTTTTAGATGCAAGAGATATACAGTGAGCTGTCTTAGCCACACAGGGGATTATAGACCAAAATTTAAAAATTGGTGAGTATTATGAAGTTATGAAGTCAAGTGGGGCAACTTCAGTAGCCAAGTAGATACATTAGAGCTGAGAAGAGAGAGTTCTAACTGATGTCCCAATTATTCCTTAGCCTGCCTTAAGGTACCATTTTTTAAGTACATTTTTTTTCTCAGCTACATTAGCATTTTCTTTTTCAGAGGGAGCCCTTTTTAAATTAATGTCTGAGCACTGAATTTTTATTAAAATTCTCTTTTCCCCCCAGGAAATTTCTCCAGAACTGTAGCTAAATTAGTAGAAATGAGATCAACCATTAATAATTTGAAGTCCAAGCTAGCGTGAGGTCCTTTTGTGATAACAGGCAGGGTGAACGGCCTGTGCTTGAAAGCAACTGTAGATCAGGCTGTGTGTGGTAAATAAGTGGTCCTCATTCAAAGTGTAGCTCTACCAAAATAATGATAATTTGCTGAGCACTCCACAGTTTAAAAGGGGCTTTCACATACTTGATCTCGTAATAACCTTGTGAAATAGAAGTTATCAGTATCTGTATTTTCTGTTTGATGGAAATGAGGCTCCAAGCCCCACAGCCAAGGCCTGATTACAGAGCCTGTGGCCTTTCTTCCCTGCCATTCTCTCATCATTTGGGTAGAGGCAGTCTCTGCTGGACCCTTGAAATCAAACTGACCTGGATCTGTACCCAACACTGCCACACAGAGCTCTGTGACCTTGGGGGTTTGCATAACCTTTCTTCACCTCAGTCCGTCTGTTAAATGGTGGTGGTACTACCTCCTACAGGGCTCCATGAAGGTGAAACATGATGATGTGAAAAAAATGCCCGGCACATGGCAGGTGCTCAGTGTGTAACCACTTCCTTTCTTCCTCAAGAAAACAGCAGCGAATTTTCAAAGAATGAATAGATCTCTGGAGTGTCCTGGCTGTGGACGAGTTTGCTGGTGCCCTGATCCAGAGACCAACCATGTGCTGGGCACAGCGTCCTTCCCTTGGTTAGGGTGGTATCTCAGGAAAGCTCAGCACGTATGTTGGGCATCTCCTTAGAAGCCAGAAATTGTGAGAGATGATTATAGCTGTTCTCCGGACCTGAGGCCTTCTAGGAGGAGGTGAGACCTTGACCTGTGGAATGTTAAACTAGAAATTCAGGTAACAGAAGAGAAATGCCCATGAAATGATCCAGGTGATACTTTGGTTATTTAATCTATGCCCTGTCTTGTTCTAGAAAGGATCACCAGAAGCTGTGCACATGGGTGTCCTCATAGGAGTCACATAGTCTCCTACTGTACTGCCCTATCTGTGGTTCTCAGTGTCCCGTCCATCCCTCACACTGCTGCGCAAATGCATTTATAACATGTAAAATTGATTGTGTCACTCATCTACCGAAAACCCTTCCACAGTTCCTGCCATCTTCAAGACAGTTATAGCGACCTGGCTTGGCATTCAAGGCCTCTTCATACCTGGCTCCTGTGTCTGTCTAACCTCATCTGATATTCCCTAGTTGGAGGGCTCAACTTTGCCCTCCAAATGCCCTGTACCTCCCCCATCTCTCTGCTTTCTCATGCCTTTCTGTTGCCCACCTGGCTGACTTCTCACCTCCCACTCTAACCCCCAACCCCGGTTTATCACCCCCCGGTACTGGCTGATTCTGCACACTGTTCCATAGCCCTCTTCTGGGATCTGGTAGCAGCCTGTCTCCTAGCACCGAATGAGCTTAGCTGTAATTGGTCTGCTTATCTGCCTACCCACATCCCCAGCTCGCCTGTGAGCCACCATACCACAGACACCATGCTTCACCTGGCACTGTGCTCAACATTGAATGTGATGCCAGCCACTTAATGGGCACATGATGGGTGAATGTTAAGAGGAGAGAGATAAATGGGGTCTGGTACATCACAGAAGGCTTCAGGGGAAAGTAGGACTTGAGCAGAAGAACCCTGAAGAAATAACTTCTGTGAAACCTGTATATCATTTCACTTGAAATGGTTCCTTCTTTTATGGTCTTAATCTCCTTCAATCTTTTTCACTTAATTTCAGTTTCTCTCTAGTGTACTTTGAGTCGTAAGGTTCCCTCTAAAGTTTTTATCCTCTTCTTCCATCAAGAGGTTATGTTGGGCATCTCCTTAGAAGCCAGAAATTGTGAGAGATGATTATAGCTGTTCTCCGGACCTGAGGCCTTCTAGGAGGAGGTGAGACCTTGACCTGTGGAATGTTAAACTAGAAATTCAGGTAACAGAAGAGAAATGCCCATGAAATGATCCAGGTGATACTTTGGTTATTTAATCTATGCCCTGTCTTGTTCTAGAAAGGATCACCAGAAGCTGTGCACATGGGTGTCCTCATAGGAGTCACATAGTCTCCTACTGTACTGCCCTATCTGTGGTTCTCAGTGTCCCGTCCATCCCTCACACTGCTGCGCAAATGCATTTATAACATGTAAAATTGATTGTGTCACTCATCTACCGAAAACCCTTCCACAGTTCCTGCCATCTTCAAGACAGTTATAGCGACCTGGCTTGGCATTCAAGGCCTCTTCATACCTGGCTCCTGTGTCTGTCTAACCTCATCTGATATTCCCTAGTTGGAGGGCTCAACTTTGCCCTCCAAATGCCCTGTACCTCCCCCATCTCTCTGCTTTCTCATGCCTTTCTGTTGCCCACCTGGCTGACTTCTCACCTCCCACTCTAACCCCCAACCCCGGTTTATCACCCCCCGGTACTGGCTGATTCTGCACACTGTTCCATAGCCCTCTTCTGGGATCTGGTAGCAGCCTGTCTCCTAGCACCGAATGAGCTTAGCTGTAATTGGTCTGCTTATCTGCCTACCCACATCCCCAGCTCGCCTGTGAGCCACCATACCACAGACACCATGCTTCACCTGGCACTGTGCTCAACATTGAATGTGATGCCAGCCACTTAATGGGCACATGATGGGTGAATGTTAAGAGGAGAGAGATAAATGGGGTCTGGTACATCACAGAAGGCTTCAGGGGAAAGTAGGACTTGAGCAGAAGAACCCTGAAGAAATAACTTCTGTGAAACCTGTATATCATTTCACTTGAAATGGTTCCTTCTTTTATGGTCTTAATCTCCTTCAATCTTTTTCACTTAATTTCAGTTTCTCTCTAGTGTACTTTGAGTCGTAAGGTTCCCTCTAAAGTTTTTATCCTCTTCTTCCATCAAGAGGTATTCTTTTCAGTGTGAACTCCTGCCTTTGGGCTGTGCAGTCACAGTGTTCCCCATGACAGACAAAGAAGCACCCGCTTTTTTCCTGCTTAGTTTACAGCATGTGTGGAGGAGTAGGAAGGCCAGACTTCCGGTCCCAAGTGCAACTTCATGAGCCAAGCCCTCTGAGTCTGTTTCCTTAGCATATACAAGCATATAGTGATCACACCCTCCTTATAGGTAATTGTGAGAATTAAGAGATGACAGATAGAAACGGGTTTCATTAAGTTTTACTCCCACATTGTAATTGTTCCCGGTGTATTTTCTTAAAATATCTTATCAGTGTCCATTTTCAAAGGAAAATTCTTTTCTTTGGACTAACCTCAGTGTCCAGCTGTTTCATAAAAATGGCATTTTTGAGGCCCAGAGTCATGCAGCCAACTTTACTTTTACCAAAGAAAGGCAAACTTTCTTGCTTTTTTGGTTTTTACAAAGCCAGAAGAAGTGAGGAACGGTCTGCCTGAAGGAGAAGTCCCCCCTGAGATTTGCAGGCTTATCAGTTCCAGAGCCCCTGAACATCCAGGAGGGTTTTACTAGTTTAGTGATGGTGCTTTCTTAACCTGAAAGCTCATCAAATGCACCTTTGATGATTTCCTCTCATTTCTGGGGTGACAACGGCTGTTGTAATTTCTGGGGTGACTTACGTTTGTTAAGGTGATTCCTCAATATCAAACATCTTTGACTGTGTTTTTATAGTTAAAAATAGGTTATGACTGCTAGGTTGTGACTCAGTAATCATATTTTTGTGTGTCTCTAGATGTATATACACACACATACATACCTAA